GAAATCTAATGTCGTATTCTATGACGGACTTTATTTTGGATTCTTTGACGATTGGTTATTTTGGTGTGGGGAAATGAAGAGTTTAGAAGCTTCTACTATTAAAACATTTTCTATGTAAATCATTTTTTTCTTGTGTGCTTTTCACTATGTGCATAATATGCGAACTTTATACGGTTGATACTTATTGAAGTGTTTCTTTTTCAGAGAGGAATGGGCCGCGGAAAGAAGCCTCAATAAACTGTTACCGGTTGAACCAGCGTTTTATTACTCCAGGCTGTGGCAAAAATTGTCCTTAACATTATGAAAAATAATTGCTTGTATCAAGTCAAGGTCTCAGATTGCCTAGGATAACTACCTGTTAAAACTCAACTTACTGCCCTTTTCCCCGAATTGAAGACTTGATGTTTTGTATTAAGAAATCCTCTTAAAGCTTATAAACATTGGGTAATTTATCAATTGCTGAAACTAAAGCGTTATCCATCTGCAAAAAGAGTATTTATTTAACATAGACAGAAGCATTGTCATGGTGAGTATTTTTCCCAATTCTCATGAAAATTATTTCATCTTCTGCTAGTGATATTATTAGGGATAATTGTCCCTAAATTCTCCGACGAGCTGCCTGTGAAGAACATGGCCCTAGGTGAGTTGAACTAATTTTATTGAATTTGTATTCGCATGTTAGGTTTCGGTTGTCAGTAATGGCGCCCGACCAGAAGGCATGCAAAATCCATATACCACTTTACTTGCTGGGCTTTTCTGAAAAATCCTTCGTGTCGTGGTGACATGATGAATTACCTAAACTAATTATTCAGCTTTGCCGTTACTATTCATGAAATTGAACTTAATTTCAAATAAACGTCTCTTTTTCTTGGTTTGGAAAGTACTACCCACACACTCCCAATATATAGAAGCTTGAAGCATGCAGGAATTCCACTCTCCCGCAACGGGTGAGAGGCCAGAGACATGCTAGAGTAAAGTGCTCGGTTCCTTCGTAGGGCTGTTTTTGGTCAGTCTTCAGTGTTCTGCGACGACATTCTTGCCCACTTGATGTCGAGACAATATTCCGAGCTGTGCTAAAAATTGGTTATGGATGACATGCTAATTTGTCCGCAACCAATAGATTATCGTGTGGGTTGCATGCCTGCTAAGTGATTTTTTTCTGAAATAAGCTCCTAATGTCTTGGTGGTTCTATTGCTAAATATATATTTATTTCATTTCAGATTTTGAGTTTTTGAGATAATTGACGACGATTAATTGCTACCGTACATGATGAACTGACGTCACTTTTATAAAAGGTGAGAAAATTGAAAATCTGCTTGTTAACAAGGTTTGGGCTGATTGGTGCACCAACTGGCAGATAAACTGTTAGTAATGCCGGAATGGAAATATGAACGATTCGCCTTAATGATGACCTCATGCGTGTCAACTGAAACTTGCTGTTGCTCTTTAACAATTAACTGGCCACGTAAGTGTTCAGTTATTTTATTGGCTTCAGCGCACAGTTTCTACCCTGATGGATTAAATAAAATTTACTGAATTTACCCGACCGATTGATGTTCTCTTTGCAGCGAGGAAGATATTTTAAGCAATTTTTTTTTGCAGTGGCCGTGTAGTCTAATAAGCTATGCCTGCTGTAGTGGAACCCGCTCTCGCCTGCGTAAGAGTCGCCTTTCTCTCCTGGTGAGTGACGACTTCCTACTCACCAGTAATGTAAAATGTTATTCCATTAATGAAATATGTTGGTTCCGTATCTACTGATTCGATCCATATTAATGTTTATGTTCTGCGGGGGCTATAACACACGTTTTTCTTTAACAGGAAAAAAAGCACTGGATATGAATTGCGGCAGCATCAACCACGGCATCTGGGGGTCAGTTCTTATATCTTGGTTGCGCTGCGTGATGATGATGGTTTACACTGCCATCTCTGTTATTTATGTTTTTGTGAAGTTAACTTTGATATTATCAATGAATATCCACTGATGATTAATTTAGTGCCATAATGAGGGACGCAATGATTATTCTATTCATCTGATTGATATATTATGGTTCCTTCCATGATGGAGTATTTTTCCCGTGATCCAACAAAACTAATTTTGCCTACCAGACATAAGATGAGTTCCTGCGTTAATAGCAGTTCTTCACTACTGATCTTTGGTGGCCAAGCTACTGTGTCCAGCACATACGACACGTAAGTGGTAGTTTAGTCTCTGTATCGTTTATTAATTTCTTTAGAATGATGAACTTTAATTCATTCGCAGAGTTCAGTTTTCCTGTTCTTGGTATATCAGTTCTTGGTATTACCGGCGGGTGCTGCGCAAAGATGTAAAATTAATTTCTGACTTGTCAAGGAAATTAAAACGGAATGTTACTTGTCCTTTGTAAAATGTATTACAAAATTTCTTACTGTGCAGAGTCAAGAATCTGACCGAATTTCGCTTAGGCTGTCAGCGCCGACGAGCTTCTTTCCCCATTTGGTGAGTTTTCAAGTATCGCCTCTAAATTTGGCGCTGTATAGAGTGGTTCATATGGATCTTTCGTATTTTTCGTGAGCCATCGCATTTTTATACTTCACAATTCTAGTTATTTTGCGAGTCTTGGTTCATACATTCTATGTGATGATAATGTGATAGGGACATATGATCCAATGATTATTTATCTCTCCTGAGAATCGTTTATGTTGAGAAACTTTTACATTCGGTCGACCTGTGGATGATGATTATTCCTGGTGCTCCCCCAGGAATGTGAGACAATGTGTGCTAGTGCTATTCCGGCTGGTGTCACTACTGCCTCGAGAAATCCTGCAGGTAGGATTACGAAGCATTAGATTCCATCTATCCTCCGTTGATATACTCATTTACTGTTTAGTGCTGAGCTGAAGCGAAGCAGTTAATCTCGATGTTCTCGATATAAACTTGACACCATTGGAATGATGACACCTTAATTCATTCTCAGAGTCGATGTCAGTACTGAACTGCTGCAGTCTTTGCTGTGGTTCAGGCTGCTTAACAAAGACGATAATTGAATGCTGACCTTTCAAGACTGAAATTTATATTTGTCATGTACGTTATGCAGTTAACTAACTAATCTTGCGCGTTCAGGATTGGGACTTGATGAATTCACTTGTTGCTGGGGCCTCCATCTTCGAGACGACGCTCTCAGGTACGAGTGATTAATAAATTTGCCAAGAAAGATTTGATTTTAGAAATAAGATGCTGAAATACAAATAATCAATCTCGCTGTTGTTGCTTGTCGCGGTGGTCATAGTGCCTGCTTCCACACAGTGCTGTCCATACAGTCACGGTACTAGAGCAAGGCTAGAGCATTGAAGAGCGTTTAGAGACGGTGACGCAAGATACCGGCTCATCGGGTTCTTCGACATGTTACTTATCTCGTATGCGGTTTAAATTCCGTCTTGGCTTCATTCCAGATCAAAAATCCTGTCTTGTATACTATGATTGCGATTTTTTGTAAATAGCACATCAATAGCCTTCGTATTTCAGATGAAAATTTTTGTCTTGCTTTGTGTGATTGAGATTTGCAACTTCACTGCCAGTGTTGGGTAGTTGAATTTCTAACTTACAGTGACAACTTTCTCGTGTGCAGGCAGGTTCAAGCAACGCAAGCCTGTGGCGCTACCTCCATTAATTGGCCTGAAGGCCGTTCCCGTAAGTTATTGGATATTATCACGATTAGAACATCTAGCAAACTCTTTATTTTCCAATGATGAAACCTACTCGCGATGGTCTTCTGAACACCAATTGAAGATAACTTCTAACTTTTCTGACAATAGCTTATTTTTGTGGCATCTTCTTGTTGTTATCGTATGGACAGTGTGCATCTTAATTTATTTTTAGGTGACCGGAGTAGCTGCCTGATGTTACTGCGTTGTCGTCTGTATAGAGGTTTGTGCGCTCAAACATTTTTCATTAAGTTACTATGGTCGATCAATCCAAATTTTAACACGTTGACTACGATTGCTTCATCTTGTACTTTTGTTTCATTTTTCTAGTACTATTATGGAACAGGGTTGCCAGACTTTCTTTCTTTACCGGACAAATTCCGCGATTTAGTTTTTTCAATTTAGGTATCGGGTAAAATTTACGATAGGGGTTGTAAGGGGCGCTTCCTAATTGAATAAAAAAAAATTGAATTTTTACACCGGAACCTACAAATATACTAGTACATATTGAGTTATTGGCCTTTTTGGCCTTTTTGTTCACGGACTTAATTGGCCGTTTTTTATGCCATCTGGCAACCCTGAATGATGTACCAGGAAAAATACATTTCGTGGTACGCATATGTACCAATACGTAGTCAACGTGTTGAATAGGAGTATACGAGTAAAGTTTCACGTCGTTGAGTAGAGCTAACGTTATCTATTATACTCAGTTTCTTTGTACACCGTAATTTTACTGATGATTGCCATATTTGGCCCGTGTTTATGATCACCTTGATTTTAGCGATCAGCTGAACCTGAGATAAGCGCTCAATTAAGGCGTACATTTTTCTCTTGCCTCGTACTTTTTCAATTACAGATTATCTCGGAGAATCACTTCAGATGGCGGCCATCATAAAGGATGGGGATTGTTGCGTTAAGTCACTGTAAGTCATTATTACTTAAGGAATGCACTGTTTTGTCTTTATGGATATCAGTGTTGGAAAATGATAAATATGACGGTATAGCCTGTTTCCACTCTGTGCTGGTTCAGCAGTCACGGTACTATCATCAGGCCAGATCAACATGACGGCGTTTGGCTGCCAGCTTCGGGCTGGTGGCTATCGGGTCTTCTTACACTCGTTTATTATGTTACTGTTTTATTGTTTTCGTATTTTGCACGAAAAAAGTTAGATATGAAAATGAATCAAGGCTTGTTAAATGTAGGACGGCTAATTTCCTAGATGGACCACTTTACCTCGGCTATAGGCTGCGAAATTTTTTTTATCGAACTTTATTTGTGCGTCCGTAAACAGGACCAAGCAGTGATCATGAAAGACCAGAACGCCACAACAATTTGCTGCGCTATATCTACTGGAAGGTGAGTAACGCATCAATGTAAGCAATTCTGTGCACTATCTGCACCGTTAGTCACTTTCAAACCTTGAAATTAACGATAAAAACACTTCTTAGTTTCATATAACGTTAATTCTGTAATCTAGCTATTACTGTATTTTAATGATGAGCCTTATCGCGACGGTCTTCTGATACATAACTGAAGTTACACTGCGATGCTGACTTGACATTTTCGTCACTTGATTCACTATATTTAATGCAGTTATTAATAGTTGTTACCTTTTCTTGGATCTTCAGGTGGAGAGACAGCATTTCACGCCCAGAACATCCCTGTTTGTGATGCATTCTCTTCAGTGGCCAAGTTACAGTTTTTGCTTCGTCTGTTGCGTCACTCGGATTCTCTGCTTCCCGGCCACTCTGCGCCACCTCTTGTTCTTTGCCACTCTTTCCTAGTGGCACCGCACTCTTGAATTCCCTGGAAGTGAGCATCATTGACGACGCTGATAAGAGTAGAAGATGTTGGAGAATCTTTTACTGTCGTTCAGCAATTAGCAATATCACCAGCACCATCTACTTGGACAAGCGCCTCCGACATGCGTCCTTGTGTTCATTGGTTCGTGCCCTCGTTTTGATTTCTTTAAGTGCAATTCATTTGATTTACAAGTTAGTCGTATTGCCCGACGTCATTTCTTATGAGTGAAGTGTTAAATTATTGTCCAAATAGGTTTTTGTTTGCTGAAATTTTTACTCGATTTTACGCGCATTTATCGAATTATCTAGTTATCTTTGAATAAAAAAATATAACGTTTCTCTCGTATTTTGCAATGATGATTGCCATATTTGGCCCGTGTTTATGATGGTCATGATTTCAGAAAGTCGCTGATTTTACTTATATTGCAGTTTTTGACGAGTCTCGCAACAGGTTTTTCATTTCCTCTCGTTTGTTTCTCCTTACAGCTTGTGGAGGGCGTTGCCTGGTGCCGTCTAGTCCTGCTCACAGGTAAGTTAATCACGGCAGATGAAGGAGCGCTTTTTTCTTTGTACATTTTGCTGTAATTTTCAGTCACCTGTAAGCAGTTAGCTAGGGGATTTTCGGTGCATTTATATCTCCTGATGTTTAATCATAGTTACTCTGATCACAATGAAGCTTACCATTTACTGAAACTTTTAAGAGGTGTTTTTACTTTCGTTTTAAAAACTTCCACTTATGCTCTTTTTTTGTCAGCAGATGCCGACATTTCTGGGCTGAAACTAGTTTCGACACGTAAGTTGTACACAAAGCAATTTTTTCTTGCGAAACTTTGACTAAATTAACTCGCTCTTTGCATAAAATTTGCTTCAGTTCTTCATTAGAGTATACGCTGTATATGAAGAGTTCGCCTGTGACGACTATTTGATGACGTCCATTATCTAGTTTGGCGAGTGCTTGATCAGAAGTAATTATTACCGATGTTAGCAGCTGCCTAAGATCGGACCGACTTCTCGGCTACGATTACCATGTATTGCTGCTAGAGTATCTGAAGGAACCAGCGAGGACGTGTACTGAACACGATCCTTCTAGAATTCCTCCTACAATTATATCTTGCATGAAGCAATATCGAATAACATGAGGCTTTTGAAGTTTTCGGGCATGTGTTAATTTCAAATTGTATTTAGATGTGAACGCTGAGAGACGAGACAACCAGCGTTGGACTACGCGCGGCACCTCGTTAGTTTACGCGATCAAGATAGCCTCACTGGTAAGTACACTTGCCTTATGTTCTAGCTGCTCATCATAGCTAAGAAGTCGTCAAATTATATTTCATTTGTAATGAAGTTTTCTGTGTGTATCCCAATTTTGGTTCATTGTCCTCGTAGTTTCCTTGTCTCTGACTGGCATATGGTAACACAAGCGTGCATTGTAATACTTTCTTAACAGTACGATTATTTAATTCATAGTTTAAGCTTACGAAATGCGTACGTGTGCGATGCATACAAACAACTTCTGTTTTGCATAAATAATTCTGACGCTTCACACAAGACCTTGCCTAGAAAAACGCACTCGACTGGGTGGCTTGCAGTATTAAATTTATACTGCGAGAATAAAATAGTTAGCTTGGGTTTGAAATTATGAAAATTTTTCTATATGATAGTTCGATTCATAGTTTCTAAAAAAATTGGAGAATGTATTTGGTTTGTCAATTCTATGATGATCATCTCGTTCGTATGATTCTGTCGTTTTTGACTAAAAAAGGATTACACATTAATTCTGAGTGATGGAGCACATTTCCGGGTAACTGTAGATTGAGTAGTTAGATTCACGCGAATACTTTTCCTTTCAGATACTTGGAAGCTTCAAATTCATTCCTTGATGCGCCCGTGGGAGAGTTGTAATTACTGGTAAGTGTTGCGTACTTAGCAAATTGTTCTTCTAGGTCTTGTGTGATGATTCATGACTAGAGTCTCTGAACAACACTGAGCGACAATTTCTAACTGACATTCAAACTCGTCTTCATTCGAATATTTCTTGTGATCGATCTATGACGGAGATTTTTTTTGCCACTGGGCAGATCTGCGCAATAAGAGTTACAGCAAAGATACCTACCTTACCTCCTTGCAGCCTTGATGAATGGTGAGAGCAATGGCCAACCACTTGAAGAATAAATAAATGGTTAACGGCTACTGAGCAGTGAACTGTGGATATTTGCCGCTTTTACCTCATCGTTTCAGCCATAATCTTTATTACGGAAATTTTTATCGAAGTTCAATTTGCTTATATGGATAATTGAAGTTCATCACTTATTTGTGTGGAAAAGGCGATTGTATAACTCACGTTTGAGCTTGGTTAATAGAACTAATTTTTTATGGCCGGGTGCAATTTTCTTTGAAAATGCAGGTGGATCTCTAGTTAAATATTGCTATTCTTGTCGCGTGTATCAAATGATGGATGAATCATAGTTACTCTGAAACCACTTGTTGACAATAAGATCTGATATCAAATTGGAGCTGTAACTGATGTTGAAGTATCCTTGGTTTTGTAACACGTGCACTTTTCTTTCCCGCTTCAGATGTTGCGGTTAAATTGACCACTTATATTCCAGACGCGGGGTAAGTTTATTAGCGTTCTCTTGTACTCAAATGTACGGCGAGGTTGCTTTCACCATATCCGCTGTAAATGTTTGATTTTAACCTTTCATATGGATGAAGATATATTGACTAGAGTCTCCGATAATGCGTGAGCGATTTTGTTATTCTGACGTCTTGGTCGGTCCTATGGGGGGCGCGGTATTTTTTTTTTTGTTTGAAAGTCTAACGATTGATCTGTTCACTTCAGGTGCTGCTACAAAAATACAGATGATCTCAAACCGCCGGCATTTTTTTAGTTACATGTGGTAAGTTTTGTGTTGGCTAGAATCAATGCCAACAATGATGATGCATTATTAATGATGAAACTTGTACAGTATCTGAAATTTATGATGTAAATTTGGGAATCTCTCTGATAATTCACGTCTATAAGATGCATAGTTTCAACAGCAGAATCGCCTTTCTAATTATTGTGCTGCAATTTCAGGATCGCAGCTCTAGCATAACGAAAAGACCGCAATAATATGGGTTTTTGTAAGTATTAAATTAAAGAAAGTTGACTCATGTTTATTGAAAAGTACTTTATGATGACATTACTAGCTACTTCAGAAAACCATGACGACGAGTAACCACCAAGATCTCTGATCATTGATTTTAACCTTTGGTTGGGGTTACTTAACCAGGAGCTATCCGTCCAATAGTTTCGTCCTATTTTTGCAGATTGCGCGTTAGAGAATGACCGCTGGCGCAGTTGATGGTTCTCCATACAGGTAAATTATAGTTTAGCCGCTTATTATTGACATAAGATGCTTTGACGCAATGTGAAGAATTGTTGTACCAATGATGACAGCACTAGCTACTTCTGATACACCTGACGACGTTTTACCACCAAGATCTCTGATTATGATGCTACGAGTCTTGAATGTTTTTTTAATGAACTTGTACCAACGCATTCCTCTTTTCACCAGATGCTATTGGTCGAGCCGTTCATCGACAATCGAGGTGAGATTTTTTTACCTCCAAAATTAATGTGAAACTGACGACAGGTCGCTATTTTAGGCATAAATGATGATACAAAGACATCTGAATCTAATGTGGAAAACACATGCATGGCACTGAAAGAGCGTAATTTAATTATTTGTTGTTTGGGTTAAAGATATCTTCTGAAGAGGTCTTTGTTGTTTTCAGGCCACTCGTAAGCACCTGTACATACCACGTCCAGTACTTACTGGCTCTCTTTTCGTCAGCGGTTGGTCGGCACTGTGTATTGGTACGTTGTTGCAATTGTTTTGGGAGATGAATGGTTTGTTGATAAGTGATGATTAAACAAGACTGATAATAATGCTGAAAGTACATGCATGGTTCTGAAATAGAGGTGCTATGAGTACCCAAACAGGATTTATAGTCTGAATAACTAACCATCGCTCTCTCTCCCTATCAAGTACAGGCATGAATGAAGCTCGATGAAGACACCGCTATTTTACAAATCTATTCTACCTTTTCTATCGAAATACACAATATACTCTTCTTTTGTTGTCTCTCATTACCCGAGGGTCAGAAACAATATCTGTAGCCGTATCCGTGGTTGTCACTTACAGCGTCTCCCCCCCTCCACGATCGTTCATGAGCAGACTACACCCAAAAATGGAAGGTGCCCTAGAAAGATGCGACTAAGGCGGAGAAATTTACAAATTTTCGTTAGTAACACAATACTTTGGGAAAAAGACGAGAGATCTTGATGCAAATATTCCCAGCGCTTGGTGCATTACCTTCAGTTCGTTTCTGACACTTAATTCGTCGTATAACAATCGGCTTCAAAATAATTTCACGATACTGGAAGTTGGAGTTTAATGAAACGAAGAGGTAGGAAAAAGCTCGGCAATGGCCTTGCTCTAATAAGAATCATGTGCTGTGCTTCAGCTTCCATTGAATAAATAAAGTACAATAATCTTTCATATTAGCAATATATTAAATCTTAATATTCTTAATATTTTTGGTCGCAACTCTTCCAATATGAATCGAGACATGTGATTAGAAACGTGTACATTGAAATGTACGATACAGACGATTCACGAATCTTTTGATCGAATAAATTCAATTATCTTTGTAGGCCGTACGCGTTTGCGTGAAGTCTTTTTTCCGCTGCAGGACTTCATACTATGCACTTATTTGTAAGCAAATAATGGAAACTGGCTGCCAAATGTATGCATAATTCGGTATACCGCAGCAAATCGACGATTCAGAATGAAACGGTTCAAGAGTGCACTGGTATGCTTACGGTTTATACAGGGTCCCCGAAGGATACTAGAATTTGAAACTAGCACCAATACCAGGGGGCCGGGGCTATTAACTAAAAAAACCGCCGCAACTTCACCCGACAACATTTCTTCTCGCTTCGAATCACCGACATGTGGAACAGCCTCCCCGATTACATCGTTGACGCTGCGAGTATAAACGCGCTCAAGAACAGACTAGATAAAGCTATGAAAAACATGTTCAGACTTGAAATGCATCACACCATATCGGACCCGGTGGAAGTCTAGTAGCTACTTAAAACTATCGTCAGTCGTAAAAGATCTGTCTAAAGATACGATTTTAGATCGGTGAACAAGGCACGAAAAGGAAAAGAATCAGAGACAGGCCACATCAGATCACTCTTCAGCGTCGACATAACTATGTTAAGAATAACACGTGAACACAACTTTGCTCGCGATAAATGGGCAATGCCGCCCGAATTGAAACATTCAAAGTAATGTGCATGATTATTATGAACCAGAAATCTTATTTAATTTCAATTACTGAGCAACGTATTCAAGAAACAAACGTCGTGTCCCAATGTTCAACTTTGAATCGCGATCAGGTCTCGCATAGGCAACATTGCGCAACGAATATAAACCCGCCAGGTAACTCTTCAAACGAAAACGATTCCCAGTATTCAAAAATGTGAGACAGGTATACCGAATATCTATGTAGAACCAATTAAAAACGTACGATAAATGTAATGAATTTGTTTGGAAAGGTAATGGTAACTTCCTGACATATGGCTGCAAGAGAGGACTGGAGACTTAACATTTGACTGTTTCAATTGAATGTTAGAATGAGCATTAAAATGAAAAGCCAGGAAAATAATTGCAATAACTGGTCATAAAAAATTCCTGTCAACGAATTGTACATGCAAATACCTCAAACTTGATACACAAGTTAAGAGTATGCGAAGGATAGGAATCACACATGATCTCCATCGGGATATTCGTACATGAGCATAATCAGCTTACGATGATGTTGGGCAAATGCTAACAAATTCGCGCGCCGTCGTTTCTATGGACTCAGCACAGCTCGACAGTCAAAATGTTATAATTAATCGCTTGATTTAAAAATAGGTCTAAACGATCCATCCCTTCAGGAAAACATGAATTATCCATTTGAAGATAGTGAAATATTTGAAAAGTATTGAGGTCCAGATGGATGAAAACAGAGGGCTGATATTGAACTTTCCACGGTAGAACAGAGCAGGAAAAATCAATTGGACAAAACTCCGAAAAACGGGCGTTAACTAGAACAATTATATTTACAAGGTTTACATTTTCGGAACCAATTAGAAAAAATAAGAGTGAGCATCCGCCTATCGTGGAGATTGGTTAATATGACAGAGCACTTCTATGCACAGCAGCAATAATTTACTACAAATAACACATTTGTGGAAACATCTTTATAAATTTCAATGTCGTAGCAATAACATCCACATAAGCTTGAGATCATTACGGAGGCCGTAGGCCTGTCGCCGATTCTTCACGTCGCAGAACATTCACAGCATTTTGCGGTCTCAAACTCGCAACTCACTGCTACAGTTCTGCTGTGCTTAACCGCTCGGCCTCCTTGTCGATTCTGACCAGAAATTGGCGCACAGAGCTGGGATCGAACCCGCGCCTCCCTGCGCAAATCCTGATACTCTGAACTTTAACCGCTAGGCCACCCTGCCAAATATGCTTGATGTCGTAACGACATTGCATACATAAGCTTGACTTCTGAACAATAACGCATACATAAGTTTGATGTTGTAATGATAATGCATATATACATACATAATAACACGCTTTCATTGTGAATAATGTTTGCATCGCACTTGGAGGGCATGTAGCCGCGTGTTTCCGCGGCGGTGAAAGGCTTGCACGAGCTGGTCATGCCGCGTAAATGTAACATATTCCACAACTTGTACATCTGCAGAGGCTCCATTTCATGCCCCATAGAAGCGGTCTGGTAGAGACAAGGATTTGTCGGTCGAGTTTGGTAAGAGAAATCCATACTGTCCCGAGGCTTGACCCCGATCATTCTGGCTAAAATGCCCGTGATAAATACGTCCTCGAGGTGGAAGAGCGGCGTGTGGATCGCGGCTGCAAGAAGCGGAGTCAACACGTTGCCTGACAAAACGTAGGAGGTGCCTGATACGTAATTAGGATAATGATCACCTTGATACATGTACCGAGGTGAGAACCATTTGCTTGTTGGGTTCAGGATAGGCCGAACGTAGCAGAAAAGACATCCCAGGATGAGCTTTTCTGAAGTGTCTTTAGTAATTAAAGTTCTTTGTAAATTTGGCACGTGTAGAAAGACATCATCGTCCACTTTAGCAACATATTTGACGTCGGGACAATGATTCGTTATGTACTTGATCATGAAAAGGCTCTTCAGAGTCAAGTTTTGGTATGTATCAACGAAATCTTCGACTATGATATCCCCGTACACTTCTTGCTCGTTCATCAACGAAGCACTTACGCCCGACTCAGAATTTTCCCGACCCAAAATGAAGAAGAGTTTGCCTTTGAGGGTACGATTGAGTTCGGCAAAAGTAGAATGCTGTACACGAGGCCCCAAAGGGCCGCGCGTGTGATGCACTGAAGCTGTGGTGGCTGTCTTCGTTTCATCAGAAGCAGACTTTGCAGATATAGGCGAGTTGTCCTTCATATCATGTTCACCATCAAGAGAGAAAAGCTCTCGAGTCATGCCTTGAGACACGTCCCCAGCAGCTGAGACTTTGCTATTCGTCAGTAGCGGACTCGGATGGTCGAGGTAATCCTTCCTCGCGACGTAAGTCGACTTTTCATCCTCATTGTTAAGTGTATTCCATCCATCACTGAGTTGCAAAAGTTTCCGTGTGGTCGTCGCACTATCCACTTGACGGATCCACTGACCGTAAGTATTTCTGATGGCTTTGCGCCGTTGGCTGTTGCCAGGACTGCTTGGCACCACCACCACCAAGAACTCGTCTCCTGAGCATCGCTCCCGGGGCGTCAACAACGACGTTTGCCTTGCTGTAGACACGTAAGCTGACACGTTGCGGTCACTGGCGGCGGTCCACGGGAAGAAACCTGTAAAATTTACATATTTGATGAAGATGCTCATAAAATATACATGGTGCATCATGCTCGAAACAAACGAAATTCTCATGTAACAGGAAGTTTTTGGCGGTAATAAAGATGTAACAGGAGGTTTTTTGGCTTAGGGTTGTGCTGTACTAAGGCATTATTAGAGCCACAAGAAAGAACCTACTAACTGGGAGGCTCAATAGAGACGCTGCTCAGACGATGTCCCGCCATGTACAGGATAATGCAGACGACCACAGCCACGAGCAGCAGCGGCCGACTTGACCGCAGCCTGCCAAGCATCGCCTGCACAAAACAAAAGCGCTGTCACCAATTCATCTTAGATTGGCTTTAGCACACCATCAAAATTCAAAATTTTGCTTCCATGGTCAAGTCATTTTGCAATGAGTGGAATCACACAAGTCATCAAGAAGTTGGACATAGGAATAAAAATGTATGAATAAAACTTTTAACATAGCAATATATAGACATAGGAATAATCCACAAACATAGGAATAAAACTTTTGTACCTGGCAAATAGTTGCATTCCGGTTGTGAAGTGGTAGAGCAAGACATGACAAATGGAAAAAAATGCACTAATGAGCTGATGGTTCCGAAGTTAATTTTTATTACTCTGCCCATTACAATTTCTTTCAATGGATAAAAAATAAAATCTTAGCGCTTTCCAATGAAGAAATGGCAGAATGGGGTAGGACTGAAAGGCGTGTGACGCTCTCTAATGAAGGAATGGCAGAGTGGTTTTTATCCTAAAATAATTCTTAGTGTTTCATCCTAAAGATCTACCTACTAGAAACATACAATTTTTACAAAGTATGAAAAGATAGCCACAATACAAGCAAGAAAGAAAATGGGCATGGACCTGAAGCAATTAAAAATTACACAAAAGGAGCCTATTGTCCCAGGTTCATGGAATCTGTCGTGGCTCAGCAGAACAGATCAGTGGAACAAGTGACTGTTGAAATACAAATTGCAGCACATAAGAGGCACTATTGTACATGCGGCAATTTCAAACCACCAATGTTGGCAAGACATAACTTGCATTATAGTAATGAAGAGCAATGGGAATTGAAACTAGTCAAGTTTTTATATCTTTGGATTAAATATTTCAAAATCAATATTTTGCTTATAACAAGCAAACTCATTGGTATAAGAAAAGCATTGGAGTCAGCAGCATACATTTTTCAAGGTGGGTTAACAGCATTGGTTACCTCAAGCTAAAATCATGAACATTAATTGCAGGCAGTCAAATGCTTTACAAACCTTCCTGAAGGCCATGGCATACGTCACAATATTGCAGCTGTTCAACAAACGGGGTGCGTACCGGTATTTAGAAAAAAAAGTCCATGACTTTTCCATGACCTGGTTTTAAGAATCTTTGAATGTTAACTGAAAAGAGAGTATTCAGCGCACCAGAACCAAACTTTGCCAGAACACGTACAAGATGTGTACCGTCAAACGGGGTAAAAAGGGACAGGCGGGGTAAATCGGGACACACCTCTGACATTTGGTAGAAATGTTGTAGCAGCTAAACTAACCAATATATTGCAAAACAAAAAATAGTGGCGTAAACTTCAACATTTTTACTATCTATTATGTATAAAGCTAGTCAAGAAATCAAACATTTACTATCTCTAAAAAATTGCTGAAAAAAAGTTGAAAAGTGCGATTTTGGAAAAGTACCTCTGCTAAGGTCTGGAGCAAAATAAATATCCGCTGTATTAAAAAATTTACTTACATAAAAGTTGCACCCAGGTGTCGGCTTGAAAATGTAATTGACAGATTTGCCTATCTCGTTCCAAAAAAAATGGCAGCCATTTCTGCACGGTGGGGCTACTCGGGACACCCCCCACTTGGGTAATTAGGGACACCCTTAAAAATGCATTTTCAGTAGAACCTCAGTTAGCAAAGGCTCCAGTTAACAAAAAAGTTGATTAACACAAAGAATTTTGATTACATTTACCTCACTCAGCGAAAAAAAATTCACTTATCAACAAATTAGTCCATCATCGGTCGTCACAACATTGTAAATAGAATGCTATATATAGAATTGTGCACCAGGCATCACAGAATGAAAAGTAATTGACCTAAACTATGATTTATTTCTCCACAACATATGATGGTTGTCATTAAAACATTATTTTCTGTTTCAGGTATGTTTTGCACAATCTTTTTTGTTATAGTGAAATCACTCGACTTGATTAAAATTGTGTAAAATTACAAACCATCCTGTAAGCTTACAGATACAGAAGAAATGCTACATGGCTGCTGATATGAAGCTTGCTGTGGACAAGGTCGTTGTCAATGCTCAATGGCATGTCCATGAATACAGTAATATCACATTAATAATACGGTAATTAATGAATATGGTAATATCATATCAATAAAGGAAAAACAAGTAAAAATCACAGAAAATATCATTTATTTTACATCTACATCATCTACAATGAAAGAGGAGGACTTCAGAGTACAGTTAGTAATGGATGAGTACGCTCTGCATGCTTTAAATTTTTAAAAATTAACTTTTATTGCAAGTGTCCCGGATTACCCCGCTTTGAGGGTAAATCGGGACGGTTTTCTTTTGCGTCTGGCACCTCACAAATAGCATATGGAATTTTTTTGAAGATGCCATTCGAAAGCCCTCGCAAAGAGCTATAAAATGAGCCTAAACTTGTTTCTGAAATGTTTCATGGTAAAAAGTTATTAACAAAAAATGCTCAAATCCATCCCTTTTTACCCAATTTGACGGTATCAAACCTAGGCTTCCACTTGTATATTTATTTGATTTTACAATTTAATTACAAATCCATTTTTGTTTGCTGGTTCCAAATGGAAACGCTTGGCAAAAAAACAAAAACACTTTCTTTTTTTCTTCATTATTTGCAAATTCCATGACTTTCCACAACCTAAAATAAAATCCCATGACTTTCCAGGCCTGGAAAATGAAAAATAAAATTCCATGACTTTAAAGGTTTTCCATGGCCAGTATGCACCCTGAACACAAATTATGCATTAATTGACATTATCAGCTGGTTACAAAACCTAACCTTTAAAGGTTCTTCCATCTCAACAAAAACTCTTCTACAAAATAAAGGGACCTATAAGAACCCCTGCTATAGTTCAATGTCAAATACAGAAAAACACTTTCAGTTTCAGAAGAACACACTTTCAAATTATAGAATCATACATTCATCTTCCACTTAACACTTTCACCTGACCTGTCAATAGCAGACAGGAACATAGAATGTGGATGCTGTTCATTTGCTTGCAAAATATACTCCAGATCATATTTATGGCAAATGGAATCATAGGACACTATCAGTAATTATTTTTATAAAAATTGTTTATACATGATCAATAAAAAAGAATATTCAGCTACTCACTTAATACACTTAATGACAGCAAATACAAAAAATAGGCTTCACATAAGAGAAACCGATGCCAAGAATCATCAACATTAACAAGAAGTATTGATCACATGAGTGAATAAAAAACCTCAATGCCTGATGACAGAATATTGATTCCACGACTTTGGGTTCAGCACCAACATCACAAAACCAGACAAAAAGACAAGATGCATTATGCTTTATGTACAAGGAGTTGCCTTTTAATCATATTTTAACTAATTTATCAATATTAAAAAACAAATAATGCAACATCCACAAACAATTTCACCCGCAACAAGGTCAAACAATGGGATCATTTTGAAGAACTGCATGACTGCTGCAAAAATTGCATCAGCTGCATTTGAGTCATCAAACACTTATGGCTTAACTGTCATGTTAACACATGAATTTAAGGTTTCTTTCTGACAATTCTACAATAACTTACTTGAGAGTTTTTGCATCAATAGAGCAAGAAAGTAAACTGCAGCTATTTTGAAATGTATGCCAAGCTGATTTACATTTGCAGTTTCATTCTTCTAAATCAAAATCATTCTGAAAATTTACAAAACGCAAATCTAAAAATCAAAACAATCATTCAAAAAAATATTGGAATGAAATTTTAAAATGAGTAGAATACTTCAATCAGGATGGGATTTTTTAACTGTCTGCATTTCACTGCACCAACAGCATGCAAGGCAACTCGCTGCACCTATGCCCCTACAGCATGCAAGGCAACTCACTGCACCTATGCCCCTACAGCATGCTAGGCAACTCACTGCAACTATGCCCCTACAGCATGCAAGGCAACTCGCTGCACCTATGCCCCTACAGCATGCAAGGCAACTTGCTGCACCTATGCCCCTACAGCATGCAAGGCAACTCACTGCACCTATGCCCCTACAGCATTGCAAGGCAACTCACTGTACCTATGCCCCTACAGCATGCAAGGCAACTCACTGCACCTATGCCCCTACAGCAGTGGTTCCCAAAGTTGGCAATATCAGCCCTCTGTGGGTGGTGGAAAGATCTGGGGGGGGAGGGTTGGTGAGGAAGAAAGGGGCAGTTGGGGGCGGCAGTCCGTGAAGTCAAAGTCAGAAGTTTGTACGTCTGTTTGACAATTTGTACACAACACATGTAGAACATGACTCCAAATCGAATAAATTTTCACAATCTAAAAATCACCGTTTGGTAGTTAGGAATTTATATTCAAAATTTCATTCAAATCTGTTCAGTAGTTTCGAAGAAATTCTTTGATCACTGCGAATTTTGGCCCATATTGCCATATAAATCCCAAATGAAAGTGAAATTCAAAAATTTGTCCCAAGCTAAATAGTATCACCATTAGGTCTTAGTGAATACATGTTCCAAGTTTAATTGAGCTGCATTCATTAGTTTGAGAGATATTCCTTGGTCACTGAATTTGGAGTCGGCCGTGAGAGTCCAGACAAATTCCACGAGTCCGGCTGTGAGAGTCCGGACAAATTCCATGAGTCCGGCCGTAAATTTGTCCAAGCTGTCTTGAATTTCTAGTGCTGAAACAGTTAAAACTGTAAAAAATATTGGTTTATTAAATGGGGCTCTATTTGTGAGATACACTTTTGTGTTTAACCTTCCTCTTATAAAATTTCAGCATACTAAATATCAAGAAAGAGGCGTTTGTTTTTATATGTGTCTGTTGGGGAGGGGGGGGGTGCTAGAGATTCACTGGGGAGCCAAAGGGGGCACCAGCCTGAAAAAGTTTGGCAGCCACTGCCCTACAGCATGCAAAGTAACTCAATGCACCTAAACCCATTAAGATGGTCCTAAAAATTTTTTTAATGAGTTTCTACCTCAAAAACCAGTTTGTATAGATACTTAAATATTATCCCTAAAATATCTTTCACATTGGTTAATATTTAAAGGTCACTCAATGGTGTCAAAGTTTCACCCTATGGCTCAAGGTCATTGAGTCCATAGAGTGAACAAAGTAACTGGTCCGAACATGCTTGAACAAGGTTTCTTTGTCAAGCCCCACTCTGAATGACCTGATACCCTTCAAGGGTGCTTTGTGTAGTGTGCACCTTCAAGTCATCAGTCATGTTCATCCAGAACTCACATTAAACTAAAGTCCTGTGAGCTTGTCTCTGAAGGATCAAGATACAAAATGAATTCAAGGTGAACAGCATTACGGTATAGCAACATCAGCAATTCATTGCAAAGAGCAGTTACAACCTATACATACACACTTTAGTCTGCCAGAGTCTTCAGAGAATTTACAGAAGTTTTAAAAAAGAACTGATCAGAGAGTGTTTCTGCTCCCCTCAAATTTGGCACCAGGGTTGGCGATTTTTTTGATTTTTTTAAAAAAATCAAAAAAATCAAAAATCAATTATTTATTTGATTTTTTCATGATTTTTTTGATTTATTTGATTTTTTTTATTTTTTCAGCTTTTTTGTCTTTTTGAGGTGTTATTTTTTATGCTGCAACTAGCCTACTAACAATAACAGTATATGAATCATAATAAATGGCTAAAAAAGGCACTTATTGCCTTCAATAATGGCCAACAGGCCAAGGTGGTGTTTACCACTTAGGGATTTTTGGGTAAACAATTATTGATAAGTCTATTCATTAGATTTGTAAAGTTTGTATGGAGCAAGGTAATGATTGTTTCGTCACTATGGTAGAAGGCTAGCTGATGAAAATAGAGCTATAGCATTTATCAAGTTCTGGGTGGGGGAGGGATATGAGTTCCCTCCAAGTAAGTTCTGCAGTGTGACAGGAATATTGAGACAATACAAGTTAGTATAGTAGTTAAATTGGCTGACATGGGATCTAACAGGCTTTACATAGCTATGCTGCACTTACACACTTACACCGAG